ACTACTTATTTTCTTACTAGTTGTAAACGTATTCTCCCATATTATCACTGCGCCACGTAATACTCGATAAACATAACTCACATATAGTACACGTCAATGAGGCGCCACTAACACTCAATACCTATAAGAAACATTGTACACGTCAATGAAGCGCCACGTAACACTCGATACCTATAACATACATATTGTACACGTCACTGAGGCGCCACGTAACACTCGATAACTATAACATACATATTATACACGTTAATGAAACGCCACGTAGCACTCGTTATCTATAACATAAATATTGTACACGCCACTGAGGCGCCACGTAACACTCGATACCTATAATATACATATTGTACACGTTAATGAGGCGCCACATAACACTCGATAACTACAACATACATATTATACACGTTAATGAAACGCCACGTAGCACTCGTTATCTATAACATAAATATTGTACACGCCACTGAGGCGCCACGTAACACTCGATACCTATAATATACATATTGTACACGTTAATGAAGAGCCACGTAATACTAGATGCCTATAACATACATATTGTACACGTCTCTTTAATAGAGAGGTTGATGATTAACACTGACTTCTGAAAAAAAAACATTCATTGTTACAGGCTCTTTAATAAAGACGTTGATTATTAACACTAAGTTTTGAAAACAGACAATAAATTGATTGTTACAGGCTCTTTAATAGAAACGTTGGTGATTAACACTGACTTCTGAAAACAAACAATTAATTTATTGTTACAGGTTCTTTAATAAAGGCATTGATGATTAACACTGAGTTTTGAAAACAAACATTCATTGTTACAGGCTCTTTAATAGAGACGTTGGTGATTAACACTGACTTCTGAAACAAACAATAACTAGATTGTTACAGGCTCTTTAATAGAGACGTTGATGATTAACACTGAATTATGAAAACAAACAATAAATTGCCAACGTCTCTATTAAAGAGCCTGTAACAATATGATTAACACTGAGTTTTGGAAACATTGTTACAGGCTCTCTATTGTTGCAATCATAAAAATGTATTGCTTGTAGGAATATGTACTGCATATCATTTGTTAGTGATAATTACCATTAAGTTACTTAATAAAACTGTAGAATATATATACAATGTAAATTAAATAGATGGAAAAGAGATACAGTTTCAAAGACTGGTCTATGAAGTTCCAGTAAATAATCTGTATATGACAAGATAGCTTTTGTAGCAATTATTATTGGGGCAATAAACGTAGGTTGTTTAACATTGTCAGAATATTTATTAAAACATATCTAATCTGTACTTAGTGAAACAAGATAAGTGGTGTCTACGTGTAGTGAAGTTTACACTTTTTAACTCAGTAATATATTATGTAGCCACATAAACCAGATAAGTGGTGTCTACATGTAGTGAAGTTTACACTTCCTAACTCAGTAAAATATTATGTAGCCACATAAACCAGATAAGTGGTGTCTACATGTAGTGAAGTTTACACTTTTTAACTCAGTAAAATATTATGTAGCCACATAAACCAGATAAGTGGTGTCTACATGTAGTGAACTTTACACTTTTTAACTCAGTAAAATGTTATATAGCTACAGAAACAAGATAACTGGTGTGTACATGTTGTGAAGTTTAAACTTTTTAACGTAGTAAAATATTATATAGCTACAGAAACCAGATAAGTGGTGTCTACATGTAGTGAAGTTTTCACTTTTTAACTCAGTAAAATATTATATAGCTACAGAAACCAGATAAGTGGTGTCTACATGTAGTGAAGTTTTACTCTCATTAATTCAGTAAAATGTTATGTAGCTACAGAAACCAGATAAGTGGTGTCTACATGTAGTGAAGTTTACACTTTTTAACTCAGTAAAATATTATATAGCTACAGAAACCAGATAAGTGGTGTCTACATGTAGTGAAGTTTTACTCTCATTAATTCAGTAAAATGTTATATAGCTACAGAAACCAGATAAGTGGTGTCTACATGTAGTGAAGTTT